TAAGAGTGGCACTTTGTGATGTTATTCTACTGGGTCTTGTTATTTTTGGGAATAGACTCATGCTATACATTCTGTTTACAAAATCATCAGTTAGCTTGTGTTTATTTGGGTTCAGAAGGTCTATATTATAATCTCCACAAATAAATATTTTTTATTTATGGATGTAAATGTGTACGCATTCAATCCGTAAATACCTCAATACTCGAACATGGTGATCTGTAAATGCAGCTTATAATTATGTTTTTCGTTTTCTCACAGTTGATTTCTATTGTTACGCACTCAAGTACATTGTTAATTGTTAATGACATGTTTTCAATAATAATAATAATAACATATATAGCAACCCCTCCACCAATCTTATTTTTTCTGTTTACTTAATTAAGACTATACCCTTCCAACTCAAACTCAATTCCCTTTTCTTCGTTGAACCATGTCTCTGAAATAGTTACAATGTTGAATGGGACAGAAAAACGCTCTAAATATGTTTAATACAGTCAAAGTTTGTGTACATGCTTCTACTATTGAAGTGAATTATTGAGAATTTTTCTTTGGTGCCAATTGAGTTATAGTCTTCATCTGAGTAATAGTTAAAATTTACGCTCATCTGACTATAAAATGTATTATCAGGATCGATTTCAATCTTGAAATTTCAATCGTGATCATCATAGTCTACATTGTCAAACGAGTTCAGTTGTAATATTTTATTATCCAAAATCCTTTGTCTTAAAATAATTTTATCATCGTTGGATGCGCTGTGGTTAGATGTATGATAGATGCAGTGTCTTTTACCTCATTGGTACAGAAATTGCCTCAGTCATATTTGTTTAGATCCTCCATGCTTCTGATCACGAGCACCCTGGCCTCCTCCGGTGATCCATTTAGTTTGACAAATATTTTACAGTTTCTCACCCAGGTACTTTGTATTTTATTTTGTTTCCTCATGAATCTTGCTTTCCGTGCAATTTCTGCATTCTTTTTCGTCAGGTGATTGTTAAGGAAGACATTTGTTCCTCTCAATTTCTTCCCTTGTTTCAGCAGGTCGGTTTTTCTTTTCCTGTTTATAAACCTCATAATCACAGTTTGGGTAATATTTTCACTGTCCTTCCGTCTTGGGAGAGGGTGGCATGCCTCAATGTCCCCTATGTCCAGGGAGATTCCTTTGGATGCTAGGAAAGCGGCCACTTGCTGCTCCGCTGACGTCGCGTCCATCTCCCCGGGCTCCGCCCCACTGTCCGCAGTGACAGCTCTCGGATATGAACGAGGTTTGATATGAAGCCCCGTTACAACAACCTCATTAATCCTAGAGTATTGTTCAATATCCTCCAATCTTCTCTCCAGCTCCTCAATTTTTTTGTCCTTCTCAAAGTTTAGAGCCCGTAGCTGTTTTACTTCTCCCACCAGCTGGAGAAGTTGCGTTTGCATATTAAACTGGATGTTCCCGTTGAAGGTGCAGTTGGAGTTGAGGAATAGGGGTGTATGGCGAAGTTGAAAGTCGGACTCCCGTAAAACTTCTTGTGCAGAGACAAGCTTGTTGACAATGTGGCCGGACTACTTGCGGAGTGATCTCATGCACGTGAATTACAAGCCCAAATTGCGTTGCCAAGGGCATAATGGGTCCTTATTGGCTTCAATAGTCTGTTAGACCGATAGAACGTTTTGAAATTACATTCAAATCAATGGAGTGTTCTACCTTTACTGTGAAGAGCCTTATGATAAAATACTAATTATAATGAAATTGGTTTTATACAGCACTTTTCTGGACGCTCAAACATGCTTCACATGTCATTATTCTTTCACTCCATACAAGGAGATGAGAAACGACTATTGTAGCCACAACTGCCCTGGGGTACACTGACAGAAGCAAGGCAGCCATGATCGTGGTGGAGCTGAACATCTCAGAGACTAGACACATCAGAGATGAAAGCTCTCTGGTGTCGTGAGAGAAAATGAGACGTCACTGCTTTCATTACTGTTACTCATGTGTCATCGTATCAAGCCCGGCCTCACAATCTGATCGTCTGGGCGACTGGGCGTCTCCGGCGTTCTCTCCGCGGTGTGGAGCTGGGCACCTCGAGGCGCAGACACCGGGGAAGGCGAGGCGGTCTGCTCGTTCGTAGCCGCTCCTCCAGGACCCCTTTGCCCTCCATCTACCTGGCCAACGTCCAGTCTCTGCCCAACAAGACGGACGAGCTCCTGTGTCGGGTCCAGAGCCAGCGCGAGGCCCGGGACTGCGCAGTGTTCTGCCTCAGCGAGACGTGGCTCCACTCGAACGTCCCGGACTCTGCTGTTCAGCCCCCGGGATTCACCGCTCACCGCGCGGACAGAGTGAAGGAGACCACGGGCAAGGCCAGAGGCGGAGGTGTGTGCTTTTTAATTAATCAGCGCTGGTGCACTGACACTCGAATTGTGAACCAAACATGTACTGCATATCTGGAATGCCTGGTCTTGAGCTGCCGCCCTTTTTATCTTCCCCGTGTGTTTTCAGTGATATTTTTATGTGCTGTTTACATTCACCCACGTGCGGATTACAAAGTAGCCCTACAGGATCTGAGCGAGATCCTTCACAAACATGAGTCTGTCATCCTAACGCAGTCATCATTGTTGCTGCGGATTTCAATAAATGTAATTTAAAGACTGTACTCCCGAACTTTTACCAACATGTGACTCAAGCTACAAGAGGAGCACATGTTCTGGATCACTGCTACAGTAACGTGAAGGGAGCTTACAGGTCCAGTCTCAGACCTCCTTTTGGAAAGTCTGACCACTCCTCTGTTCTCCTTCTTCCTTCGTATACTCAGAGGAGCAGGGAACATAAACCAACCTCTCGCACTGTGCAGTGTCTGAGGAGGCTAGCATGAAGCTACAAGGTTGTTTTGATGCTACGGACTGGTCAGTGTTTCAGTCAGAGGACGTCAATGAATTCTGTGACGCTGTGTCTGGATACATACGCTTCTGTATTGACTGTTGTGTCCCACAGAAGGTCATTAAAGAACATTTTAGTCAAAACCCTTGGATGAGCGCGGAAGTGATACTGAAACTTCATGAGCGTGCGTTGGCGTTTCAATCAAATGATACAGTTGCTTATAAGCTATCCTGTTACTCATTGAAACGTTCTATTAAATCTGCAAAGCGCAGTTACGGGGACAGGTTAAAGAGTTATTTTGAGGAAGATGACCCTCGGCGCATGTGGAACGGTATAAAAGCCATCACATGGTGGAAACCTAGCGCTGGGAAAATTGCATCTGTCGGCCAAGCTCTGCCAAACGAGCTGAACACGTTCTACTGTCGCTTTGAATCCGCTGATGCCTGTCCTACTGTATTCCCTGAGTGTTTCAATCAAGGTACCTTCACCGTGACTCAGGAGGAAGTCAGGCGTGTCTTGTCCAGGACCACAGTCCGGAAAGCCCCAGGCCCGGACGGCATCCCTCCTCGTGTCCTGAAACTGTGCTCTGAGCAACTTGCCCCTGTGCTAACAGACATTTTCAACCTGTCGCTAAGGAACTGTATTGTGCCGAACTGCTTTAAAGAGTCGACGATCATTCCAGTTCCTAAGAAAACTCCTGTGACATGCCTGAATGACTATCGTCCTGTGGCCCTCACATCTGTTCTTATGAAAACTTTTGAGCGGCTTGTGCTGGACTTCATTAAGAGCCAGATCCCTGTGAGTGTTGACCCGCTCCAGTTTGCTTACAGACAGAACAGGAGTGTGGAGGATGCCATCTCCTTTGCTCTGAACTCTGTCTACAGTCACTTGGACACTAGTAAATCTGTCGCGAGAATGCTTTTCATCGATTATAGCTCTGCTTTTAACTGCCTTGTTCCAGGTAAACTGATTGAAAAGCTCCTGTCTCTCGGTTTAAATGTTGCCATGTGTAAATGGATTTTTAGCTTTTTAACTGACAGATCTCAGAGAGTGAAAATCAATGACTGTTTTTCTGATGTTGTTTCTGTGAGCACTGGTTCTCCTCAGGGATGTATTTTGAGTCCTTTGCTTTTTACTTACGTACTCGTGTACACTCACGATTGTGTGTCCTCCTCTGACTCAAACTTGATCATCAAATATGCTGATGACACCACCATCATCGGTCTCATCAGTGACAATGATGAATCCTCTTATAGAGCAGAGATACAAAATGTGGTTCAGTGGAGTAAAACTAACAACCTCCAGTTGAACGCATCGAAAACATGTGAACTGGTCTACAACTTCAGTCGCAATAATTCTAATTTGCCTCTCGTAATCGACAACTCCCAGGTGCAGATCGTAGAGGAGTGCTGGGTTTAACTCTGTCTAACGACCTGAAATGGGTTAAAAACACTGACCGGGTCGTTAAGAAAGCTTGTCAGCGTCTCTACTTTCTGCGTAAACTTAGAGAATTTACCACTAACTCTAAGATTCTACTTAACTTTTATCGCTGCACCATTGAGAGTTTACTTGTTGGTTCTGTGTCTGTGTGGTTTGGAAACATCACAGATAAAGAAAAGAGAGCTTTAAACAAGGTGCTCCGCTCTGCAAAGAGGACCGTGGGCTGTGAGCTTCCTGTTCTGGAGGTTCTTTATGAATCCAGACTTTTAAGCAAAGCTCTTAGGATTGTCAATGACTCTTCTGGCCACCCTGGGAAAGCCATGTTCCAGCTTCTTCCCTCTGGCAGAAGATATCGCTCTCTCAGATGCAGGACACCTCGTTACGCTAACAGTTTTTATCCACAAGCTGTTATCAGTGTGAACAGAGCACTTTAATGATTTGCACTTGTTTTGAAACTGTTTTAGTCGATCGATTTCACAGTGACATTTGTTTACTGTTTTATTTGTTTTATTTTTGTCTTTTAATTTTGTTTTATGTCTGTATTTGTCTGTGCACACTGGTGACTTTTGCAAATGTATTCCTATGTGGTGTTTTTACTGCAAATGGCAAATAAACTGAATCTGAATCTGAGTCTTCTAATCCTCATAGAAGGTCAGTGGTCAGAGGTCAGGTTAATAGGGTCAGGGTAGCCTCTTACCGGCCATGTCTAGGTCCTCCCTGCTGTAGCTGATCTCGATGTCGCTGTCCTCCTCAGGGAACTCTGACTCAAAACACTGGGTTGCGGTGGAGGCCTTGTTCTCGGCACAGGATAGACTGCGCTCCCCCTCCTCCCCCCCAGGGTCCTGGTGAGAACCATCAGGAAACAACTCTGCTCCGAAAGGGTCACTGCCTTTGAAGGGGTCAGAGGTGAAGCCGTCTGCAAACACAAGATCTCTTAGCTCTCATGAACAGATGTCTCCTCTCCATTAGGACAAAGACTCTACTCTGACCTCCTGATTTCACATGTAAGTAAGTAAATAAGTAAGTAATCTTTATTTATATACCGCCTTTCACAGACCAATTTCACATCAGGTCAAAGCGTGATCTGATATCAATATCTGGAATCTAGGATTAGTTCATAACCCTGACTCGTTAGGGGCCAGGGTTATGAACTAATCCTTGATTTCAGACCACCGGTTCGACTCTGGTTAGGATCAAGGAGCTGTGGCTGGGCCGTCCCCATAGCATTACATCTCTGAATATAGTGAATACAGTTTTTATTGCTTCTCCATGGGAGCGGATCCCTCTCCCAACATGGGCCTCCCCGAGGTTCCTCACTTTTTTCACAATAGGTTTTTTTAGTGGTTCCTCTCTCATGCAATTTCTGGACAGTGGTGATCCCGCTCCCTATGGACTATATGTTTGTTATTATTGCATTTCCTGTGCTCGAACTGTTTGATTCTCTGATCTGTTGTTGGTGAATCCACAACTTTGTGAAGTCCTCCGAGACGACGGCTGTTGTGGTTTAGGGCGATACACAAATTAAGTGAACTGAACTCACCAGAGGAGTCTGTTTTTGGGAACAGGTCTTCATTGAAGAGGTCATCTGTAAAGAGAGACCAGGACCAGACTGAGACCAGGACCAGGACAAGACTGAGACAAGGAGCAGGAGAAGAACCTAGACCAGACACTCTTAGGGTTTGGGGTTGACACTCACGTCCTCCTGGAGAGTGGGCGAAGGGGTTGGCCTGGTAAAAGTCCAGCCCAGTCTCAGGAGTCTCGGGCTGGGGCACTAGTGGGTCCACCTTGGACCGGGGCACGGGTAAGTCCACCTCAGGCTCCTCCAAAGAGTCGTCCATGTCTGAAGGCTCCATCTGCAGAACCCAGTGAAGCAGATACAGACATTATTAGTGACAGGAGTCCGCGCCACAATAGTCCACAGTCACCCAGAGTTTACGTCCTCCGTGTGTCCGGCTTTTCGGAGTCAGCGGTAAAGCGGTCCGCACATTAAAAGCGGATAGCCTCTTTATGCTGTTAATTACAGCAACATTGGAAAGAGAAGACGTGGGGATGAGCCGCCACAATGCACTTTTTAACATAAAGCGGCCACCCGCTTTTAATGTGCGGACCTCTCTACCGCTGACTCCGAAAAGCCGGACCTCTTTACCGCGGTGTGTGGCCGCAGTGGAAACATTCTGCGAACACCAGACAGGAGACGTGGTGAAGGGGACAGGGGGATCATAACACCGGGCATATGGGTGAATGCAGCAGGGTTAAACAACCGCGGGGAACGCAGGAGACGTGGCAGAAGCCACGAAAGAAAACGCACCGCTAATCTGCCTTTACGGACAGAGATGATGATGATGAAGGCAGTTCTTTAGAGAAGATAATCCATAAAAGTGGATCCGAAATGTTGAAGAGCCTGTTGTTTATTGTTGAGACAATCTGACAAGTTCTGAGCCCATTCATTTAATCGCTCTGTTTCTAAACGATTAATTCTGGAACCTCATTTCCACTGAGATAAACTGTATGCCACCAGGTCTTTTGAAAGGGTAATATTGAAACCAAAGTGCAGATTTCATGACTGGTAAACTATAAGCAGTGCCATCTTGATCATTGAAGGTCTAATACAGTTCCATATGGCCGTGGACCAGTGTTAAAATATTCTATATAAATTTGATCAGTGAATTTATTTCTATCCCACATTGTGTTTTCATACTAAAGATATTTCACGTAGACTGTTGATGGTATTCCCTGATCTCAAAATACACTCTCAAACTACAGCTTTTTGAAATCTTTATACAATAATTAACATTTTCCAAAATGGCCACCACCTTGATGACGTCACAATATGCAAATTAGATGACGAATCAACTTCCATCCCGAGAATATAACACATATTTTCAGTTGGTTCATACTTTTTCTTTTAGGTATGTACATAATTCCATCCATCCATCCATCCATCCATTTTCTTCCTCTTAATCCATTTCTGGGTCAGGGGGGTGGCAGCCAGAGCTGCACCCAGGACACATAGCACCAGCCCCTCACTGATCCTCCTGCAGGTGGTGAGTCCACAGGAGCTGAGATCTTCATGTACATAATTCGAGATGAGTTAATTCAGTTTGGATGCCTTCAGTGTGAATCTACAATGTTCATAGTCATGAAAAAAAAGACAAAATCCAAACTTTTGGTCTGTACTGTACATACATATATCCTTTGATGAGCACTTACACTTTCAAGATGTCTTTTGTCCTATTGGATTTATTTAATTGATTTTGACATGACAAGCTATAATCAATCATGATGAAATATTTCTCTGTGCGTGTGTGTGTGTGTGTGTGTGTAAACAGTTTGAGCATTTACAAAATCCGGGTCTACAGTGTGCTGACCTGATCCATGCTGCAGACTGACTGAAAGTAGTTGTGCAGCATGGATCAAGTTGTGCACCCCCTCAACCCTGATTAGCATTTGTATAGCTCACAGCATTGCCATTTACATGTTAAAGCCTCCTGTGGAGGAGGGAGGAGGGGACAACAAACTACCGTCAACAGCCGAATCCCAGAAGTTTCACAGTAATATACAGGGCCGAAAAGAGACGAAAATCACACTTTTCATGCAGTGATTGTTCTCAAATAAAAAATGACTTAAAGCTAGAGATGCGCTGATTATATTCATGGATGAGTCTTAGTCTGTAGAGTTCTTAGTTTTGTGTAAACAGCAGGTTTGTCCTTCGCACACCTCTCTCTCTCTCTGTCTCTCTGTCTCTCTCTCTCTCTCTCAGGTGAGTGTAGCGCAGACCGGTGCACGTGGAGCTTGATAAACATGTAAACTTTAAATACAATTGGAATTCAACTCCACAATCAGCACCAACCAAACTGCAGGAATAAAAATGCCAATTTTACAACATTACATTTCCTTTTGACAAGGAAAGAAGATAACAAGCTGATAACGTTACGTAATTGCTCACAAGCAACCAAAAGGTGTGCAACCTAAACTGCCTCAGACAAGAATCGAACCCGGGTCCAACGGGTCCTGACCTGCAACGCTAACCAACAGAGTATCACTAGGCAAAACAGGTTTGCACGCAGTCTTATACCTGAGCGTTTAAGTCGCTGGCAGAGCTAAAGCGGACTTAACCTGCCACCTAGTGGCGATAGGATGTAATATGTTTCACGCAGCTGCGTGATTCATGAAAAGCGTGAGTGAAGACGACAAAACAAAATGGGACCTACTGTATGTAATAGTTATTTAATGAAAACACAATTTAGCCAAAAAAATTACACTTGACCTATTTTCACTATTTACTCGGAACGTGCCAGCGCGACATCCAACGGGTTTTCCCAGATCGCATCACATATTTGACCAGTCATTTACTAGTGCCGTGTTCTTGGGGGTTGCGTATTGGGGCGGCATTCTGACCCCAAGAGACAGAAACCGGCTCGACAGGCAGATCAGGAAATGTGTCTGTGTGATGGGGAGAAGTGTGGACTCTGTGCTGGAGAGAAGGATTAGGGCTCTAATGCAGGGCATCCTGGGTAACTCCAGACACCCCCAGCATGACACCATGGCCACTCAGAGAAGTAATTGTGGCAACAGGCTTATATCACTGCGCTGCCGAACGGAACGTTTTAAGAGATTCTTTGTTTCTCCTACAGGGGATCAATAAAGTATTTATCTATCTATGTAGTTTGTCCAAAAGAAAGAGTCAAACCACAGCAGCCTGTCTTTATCTTTTGTGTAAGAAAAAGCCCTGTGAGTCACAATTTGAGTCTTTGCGCTGAGAGCTGATGAGAGGAGCTTAAATTCCCCAGCTTTACAGTTACGAACCCCAGACTTGAAGTTACATGCCCCAGCTTTGAAGTTACGTCTCCCAACTTTATGTACTAATAAGGAGAATGGTGAGCCCCCTATAGTTTCAGACCTTTGGGGAGCTGGAGCCGCTGTCGTCCACCTCCTCTCGGGTGTCGGCCAGGTTGTGGCAGAAGGCTGGGTCGTTTGCCCCCTGGTGGAGACAACAAACGTTTAATAAGGCAGAAAAGGCCTCCACAGCTCTGTCTCTGAGGTCTGGAGGAGGAGAAACATATTTGCATGTCTGTATGTGAAGAGATGAACTGTCCTCTCCACTCGTCATTGCAGAGATCTGACTCATACCATGATGAGGTCAGCGTAGGCGGGTAGACTCTGGCTCCGCCCCCAGGGTCTGACTGGGATTGGCTCATCCTCAGTTGTGTCGCCTGGAGAAGAGGAGCCCTCCATTTGTGACTGAGGGGTCACCGCTGATCCAGAGAGGGAGCAGAGGGCGTGCTCCTCCTGCAAGAGAGACCAGGGTTTAAACTAGAGCTGGAAAACTGGTCTAAAACAGGTCTGAACCCGGTCTGAACAAGATCTAAAACAGATCAAACAGCAGATCTGAACCACAGGGAAGCAGAACTGAACCAGAAGTGAACCAGGACTGAACCAGGTTAAAAATGATTCTAGTCCGGGTCTTTACAATTATCTGAACAAGGACTGTTGATTTTTGGATTTTTTTTTACTTAACCTTTAATTAACCAGGAAAAATCCCATTAAACGTAAGTTACACATAAACACAACAGACGGATAAAAATAGGACATGTATACAGACTACACAAAGTAAAACAATTACAGATAATTGAGGCTGTCTCAAAAACTTTTTTATTTAAAGCATTCAAGGACAAAATCTCAGTCAGCTTCCAGTCTCGCTGGAGCATGTTCCAAGCAAATGGAGCTGCATGGACAATGGCTTTTTCTCAACTCTGCATGGACAAAAGGCACGGTAAACAATACCTGCTCATTGGACCTCAGTGCAAAAGACTGTACTCCTCTGTGTGTGTAATGTACAGAGGTAAGAGGGCAGGAGTCCCAATAGAGCCTTGTAAATAAAAACGTACCAATGACACTGCCTCCTAGTGGACAGGGAGGGTCATCCCACCCAAGCGTACAGCTCACAGTGATGTGTAAGAGCTCTACAGTTTGTGATGAACCTCAGGGGAGCATGATAAATAGAGTCCAGCTTTTGAAGACGCGAAGAGGTGGCATTCATATAAAAAAGGTCACTATAATCTAAGATAAATAAAAAAGGGAGGAGACAAGGTACCTTTTAACCCCAAAAGAAAAACCTCTTATTTTGAAAGAAGAAACCCAGCTTAGTTTTTTATTTCCTCACAAGTGCATCGATAAAAGGTTGTGAGGGTGTCATTGATTATAACTCCTAGTTATTTGTATTTATGCACGACTTCAATGACATTCCCCTCAAGAGTGGACACCACTGGGGGAGTTTGAGGTCGCTTCTTATGTTTTGAGAACAGCATTAGCTTTGTCTTGTCAGCATTGAGAAGCAGTTTTAGATTGAAAATTGCATGGCAGTTTTAGATTAAAACTGGTCTGGCCAGGTCTGAACCGGGTTGGCACCAGGTCTGGACCAGGACTGGACCAGCGCTTTGGTCAGTACCTGCAGGATCTCCTCGTAGGACTGGCGGATAGAGTCCTGTAGAGGAGTGTCTCTCTCCCCCGCCACCTGGACCTTCCTCTTGGCCTGTTTCACCTCCTCCTTCAGCCTCCGGAGCCTCCACCGAGCCCTGGCCAGCTCCTTCTCATACTCCTCTACCTGGTTCTCCTTCACAGCCTCCTCTGCCTGCAGTGACAGGATCTGGAACACACAGCTGTAGTCAAGACTTCTATCGGCTTCAGTCGTGTCCAGTTAAAGCCCTCCTCTACCTGCTGCTCTTTACCTGCTGGTCCTTTACCTGTTTGCTCTTCTACCCTGTTCCTCTACTTGCTGGCTCTTTTACCTGCTGCTCCTCTACCCGCTGGCTATTCTACCTTTTGCTCCCCTACCTGCTGGCTCTCCTCGTAGCAAAGCTGTCTGGTGGCTTTGATCTGCTGGACCAGTTTCTCCTTGTGTTTCTCCAACTTCTCCAACGTCTCCTCCAGCTCCTGTCGGTCCGATTGCTGCTCCTTCAGCTCCAGGTTTTCCACCGCCACCGCAGTCTCCAGCTCCTGCAACAGAAGAGTAACCATGACGATACGCAACCACTGGAGGGGTGTAACTATTACGACACGTAACCACCGGAGAGGTTTGCATGATGACATGCAACCACCACGCATCCACTGGAGACACAAGTGTCATATGCCGCTTTTCCACAGTAACGGTAAGGTACAGTGCGACACGGCACTGCCGAGTTCGGGTGCTTTTCATCAAAAATAGTACCTCCTAGTATCTCCTCAGCGTTGTCAGACCACATCATTTACTCGTGACGCGTAACTAGTAACATTGGTGCGGTGCATGAATTTATTATAATATCGGTGATAGTACTAACTCAGAAAATATTTGCCTCTCCAAGTACCACCACAAATGACCAACACTACACAGTATTCATCAAAAACAAGGCAGAGGTTTCATTTTAATATTTGTAACATTTTACACAATTTCAACAATAAGACTGCACTTAAATATAGAAAAAAAAAACAACAACTGTATAATAACTCCATTAAAATGTTCAATTCATTACAAACTGCAAAACCTTGACTCACCACTGTGAATGATATTCTGGAGTGGGATCTTTGTCCACCAGAAGGTTTGAACACTGGTGCACTTTTGTTTATAAGGCTTGTTCTGCTGCCCTCTTACATCTGCCATTTACTCACATATAGAGATGTTGGTTTGTATGGTTTGGAACTTTGGATCAAATGATCTTTTGTTGCTCTCTGTTCTTTTTGGCCGCACAGAACTGGGAAAAAAAGCTTTTGTATTTGTATTCGCATCCACAAAGTGTTGTGTTGCTCGAAAATTTCAAAATGTACTCATCCAAAAAACTTCAACATTTACATATTGAAAGTAGAGCCCGTGACAAACTGTGCCAGAAAGAATGGCCAGAATTCATCCATTGGGTGGCGATATATTTATGTCAATAAGAGTTAATCAGAGATAAGCAAAATTACAATGATAAACACTATAAATGACAATAAATCAAGGTGAACAGACAATATACAGTGCCTTGCGAAAGTATTCGGCCCCCTTGAACCTTTCAACATTTCGCCACATTTCAGGCTTCAAACATAAAGATATAAAAATTAATTTTTTTTGTCAAGAATCAACAACAAGTGGGACACAATCGTCAAGTGGAACGAAATTTATTGGATAATTTAAACTTTTTTAACAAATAAAAAACTGAAAAGTTTGTACCCCTCCGCCTTCGGGTGGGGTACAAGTCTCTCACTGTTGTGACAGCCTACAGGCCAAACAACAGTGCAGAGTACTCGGCCTTCTTGGAGTCCTTGGGTGGGGTACTGGACGGTGTACCTACCGGGGACTCTGTATTCTCCTGGGAGACTTCAACGCCCATGTGGGGAATGCCAAACACTTGGAGAGGGGTGATTGGGAAGAACGGCCCCCCTGATCTGAACCTGAGCGGTGTTCAGTTGTTGGACTTCTGTGCTAGTCACAGTTTGTCAATGACAAACATCATGTTCAAACACAAGGGTGTCCACCAGTGCACGTGGCACCAGGACACCCTAGGTCGGAGGTCGATGATTGACTTTGTTGTCGTATCATCTGACCTTCGTCCAAGTGTCTCGGACACTCGGGTGAAGAGAGGGGGGGAGCTGTCAACCGATAACCACCTGGTCGTGAGTTGGATCCGCTGGCAGGGGAAGAAGCCGGTACCTGTAGCAACAGCAGCTGTGTAGCAGTGGTGTAGAGAAGGAGGGCTATCCGATACGTCGCTTGTCATTGTCATATTTTTTACCAAAAATAAAACCTTTTTGTATTTTCCAAATGTCTCCATCCTTGTTCATAAATTTACCAAGGTTTTACAGATTTACTGACAAATATAATGTATGTAGTAAAAGTACATAAGTACGTATATGGTAGAAAATTGTAACTTTTGAACCCCTTTTCTGCATGTGTACAGACAAATGAATGAAACAAAGTCTTGATACAATCACAGATTTATTAAAAACAAAAGTATAGTACAAAACCAACAATTTACAAGTCCAAAGTACGTTTGAGACCAGGTCCAGAGGGGGAGAATGTTAAGTACTCCGGTCACTCGTTGCTTGTTGGTAATCTCCTCACTTGTGGGAAGGGATTCTCAAACAAAAAATTGCACAGGACAACTTAAGTACAAGCACAAAACAGAATGGCAACACGTGAATACAGCAGATAATACGAGATATAGCACACTAGCACAGCAAGGAATTTAGCTTATTAGCTCGCTATCAATAGCTTAATGCTAGCTCACTGTTTACAACAGACAATCAAACATTTACACGAGTAAATACATTTCAGTGAGAGCTTTGGGCCAACGGGATACATAGCTAACCAGTTATTTCCAGGATTACCACAGACTAGTCACAAATCCAGAGCAATCTCCCCGAAATCCTTGTTAAACCTCTGTGTTGTGCGTTCGAGCTCCCCTTGAATTCTTTCTTTGGCATAAAGAGAGTAACGTGTCCACCGACCAGGACGTTGACTTTTGGGGCTTTCTGTTCGATTCAATTTCTCTGGAGTGAGGAGGACGTGTTTTAGCTGTAGCAGAGCAGCCGGTTTTAAAGATGGCGGGTTGAGTTGTTTATACCAAAGGGTCGGACGTCACGTCCAGTGACGACACTCGTTGACCAATCAGAGAAAGGCAGGCTGACGTCTAGGGGTGTGACGATACTTACTCCCGCGATTCGATTATCGATATGCATTTATCAAGTATCAATATCGATTTAAAAAAAAAAAAAAATGTTTTTTTTTTTTTTTTTGAATTGGTATCAATACTTAATATATGGCTACATTACGCATCTCCATTCTATTTATCATGAAATAAAGAGTATTTTTTCTTATATTTATGACATAAATTGGCATATTGTATATTTCTAACCAATATATCAATAATCGTCATATTGTGATAAAATCGTTATCGTGATATCGTTATCGTGATATTATCGTTATCGTGAGCTCTGTATCGTGTATTGTATTATATAGTGAGGTACCCTTAGGTTCCCACCCCTACTGACGTCACATCATGGTGTAGGTACGGCGCGGCTGGAACCACAGTCGAGATAGTACGAAAAAAAGTATGCAAAACCTGGCCCCAACCCTGGTGGAAATGCAAAAGTACTGCGCCGTACCGTACCGTTACTGTGGAAAAGCGGCAATAGATAACGGAACTGGTAGGCTAAAGGTTGCAATTCAGAAGGGTTAGGGAAACTGAATATTTTCTTAGTTTGTTTATTATTTCTATAAACTAATAGCCCGTCAGCTGAGTCCAGATATGTGGCTAGAAATCAATCATTCCAGCAACTTTGGCACTACTTTTTGAGACTGGTTATAGCTTCACTATAGTGTATCTGACCATACACTATACGGACTACTTCTCGTGTAACTAGACGTAGAACGTTGTCAACCGTCAGTTCTCAGCCAATAGGAGACGCGTATTATCGAGCAGGTGAGGGCTAATCACTACGCACTATATAAACCTCTGAGAGAAACTGACGGAGGCAAGGTGGGAAACCTTCCGACGATGCGCCTGTGATTGGGACAAGACGAGCGTAGGTAGTAGATGTTTTCAAAACATACTACACTAAGTTTCAATTGATTCTGTTTGATGTTCTCCTTGTGATATATAAGGTTGGGAGGGGCCAACCTACAACCCAACTACATAAATAAAAGTAGAGCTAAGTCCAAGATTGATATACCTAATAGCTACTCTACTCTAATTACAACTAAGTATAATTGCATATTCAATACAAGTTGGCCTTATATGAATCTAGACAACTGAAACATTGCATTGGTGGCAGGCCATGTATTTAGGCAAACAGAGTAATTATCTATACTAATATTGCATACCTGTGATGACTGCATGCTGGCAACCACATTGGAATACATTTGTAAAAGTCCCCAGTGTGCACAAGACTAAAATAAAACAAGATTAAAAGTACAAGAATAAAACAAACAAAACAGTAAACAATTAACACTTTGATCAACTAAAACTTAAACCTCTCTGTTTAGGAGTTACTTATGCTGGGATGAAATTATTCATAACACAATTTAACTCGTTTGTCATTTCCAGGTATCCCACTTTGCCTCTCTCACAGAGGTTTGTTGTGGCTGGCATTTGCGAGAAATGGATTTTCACCACGGACCCTTCTTGACTGAAGGGTACCGGGTTTTCTATGAAGTAAGAATAAATGTCTAGGCTAGAATGTGATATAGGTCTTAGAGGAACAGCCATTGGCTGGTTTAAATCCTATTTATCAGATCGGTATCAATTCGTCAACGTAAATCAGAACTCGTCGCCTTATTCTGGAGTAGAACTCGGTGTGCCGCAGGGTTCGGTACTCGGACCGATTCTTTTCACTCTCTACATGCTGCCGTTAGGAAACATTATTCAAAAGCATGGAATTAATTTCCACTGCTATGCAGATGACACACAGCTTTATCTGTCAATGAAGCCAAATCAGACAGATCAGCTAGAAAAGCTTAGTGCCTGCATAAAGGACCTTAAAACGTGGATGACTCTTAACTTCCTACTTCTCAACCCGGAGAAGACAGAAGTGATCCAACTCGGTCCGAAGCGCCTGCGTGACTCCCTTACTAACCAGATAATCACTCTTGATAATGTCAGTATTATACCCAGTAACACTGTGAGGAATCTTGGAGTAATTTTTGACCAAGAACTCTCCTTCAAGGCTTATATAAGCCAAGCGACTAAAACGGCGTACTTCCACTTACGGAACATCGCTAAAATTATAAACTTCCTTCCTAAAAGTGACGCGGAAAAACGTATTCACGCTTTTGTCACCTCAAGACTTGACTACTGTAACGCTTTATTGGCAGCATGCCCTAAAACCTCTTTGAAGAGCTTCCAGCTCGTTCAGAATACAGCAGCTAGGATCTTAACAGGTACCAAAAGGAGGGAGCACATAACTCCGGTGTTAAAATCACTCCACTGGCTTCCTGTGGAGTACAGAATAAAGTTTAAAATCCTTCTCTTAACATATAAAGCCATAAATGGCTTGGCTCCTTCCTA